ATATCAATCAACTTAAATATACTTTGATTAATCAAATTTTAAATTTTATTATAAATATCAAATCAACTTAAAATATGCTCATCAATTTAAATGTTAATGTTTAATTTAATTAAAGTGGTTTAATAAAATAATAATATCTAAGTTGAAATTGTGCATCTTTATATCCTTTATCAGCTGATTTTTTATAATATTTAAAAGCTTTAATTTCGTTACCATTATCTTCTTTAAGTCTATAATAATATCTTTAACAAATTGATATCATTCACAAAATAATGAAGAAAAGGTCAATATCAAGCGTACTTGACGAAGATCCAGATAGACCTTATACAAGACCTTCACCACCTTCATCACATATTTAAAGAAACAGAACCATATCTGGTATACTTGAAGAATCTTCAGAACACTTTCCTTCTGCAACATCACATAGTGAAAGATTGGTCACGTGTGATTGTATTAAATGCAATGGGAAATTAGTTGACTATTGTATAAAAGTTCTTCACGAAATTAATCAAAATCTAGAGGATAAAATAAATCAAAACTTAGAAGATAATTTAGAAGAGACAGAGATTGAGAGACATCCACCTGATGAGACATCGGCCAAATCCCAACCAGAAGTTGAATTTCACAGAGACGATCAATATGAAGGTAGGCATATCAAAGACGACGGAACTGAATTTAACTTCTTACCTCAACAATGATTAAAAAGATATGTAAATCGACCGAATATTACCGTTGAATTAGAAGATACATAACTGATACTTCTGAATGTATCACAAAAGAAAATGAAAATATCAATAGTGATTCTAATTCATCTGATAATGACCTACCCGATAATGAACTTTACGAAATTTTTGAGGATTATTCATGTCCACCCTTTGAACCACTTACAGATTTATATACAATAAATGATAGTTGATTTTTATGGATATTATTGTGGATAATGGGTTTTTGAACAAGATTTAACTTATCAAAAACAGCCATAGAATTACTTATATGGTTCATGAAGCTTGTTCTAACAGAAATTGGTGGTTCTGATTTTGATTTATTTCCTGAAACTTTATATTTTGCGAGAAAGACACTCGACCTTAAAGATAAATTTCATAGTTTTGTGGCTTGTCCTAAATGTCATAAATTATATAATAAATAGGAGGTAAAAAATTTTTATAAGATGAACACCTTACTGTTATAAAATGCCATTATATCAAATTTTCTAATTCAACAGCTCGAAGATTAAGATTATGTCAAACGTCTTTATCACAGCAAACGAGGTTATTAAATGATATTTTGATCAAACCCGAATTGATATTTCCATTTATTAGTATTAGAAAACAATTGGAAGCCTTGTATCGTCAACTTTTTTTTGAAGGTTTCCTATGGCATTAGGTAAATCGGCCAACTTTCGATAATATATTAACTGATATCTATGATGGTGATATTTGGAAAACTTTCAAAGAAGGTACAGACGAAAATTCAAAAAATTTTTTCTGATATGATGTTGCCAATTTGCATCTTGGGTTGGTTTTGAATTAGGATTGGTTCTAACCTTTCGAAGGTACAATAAATAGCACTGGAGTATTATATGCCGCAATCTGTAACCTTCTGAGAGATATTTGATTCAAGCGTAAAAATATCTTAATCCTCAGATTGTTACCTAATCCAGATAAGGTTAGCTTGTATAAAATAAACCACTATCTGGTACTAATTGTAGATGACTTGGTATCACTTTGGGAAAGTGTGACTTTAAATCAAACGTATGAATATCATCAAGAAGGAAAAAGAATACACACAGCTCTAATACTTATTTTATGTGACATACTAGCTACAAAAAAGATATGTGGCCATGTTTCTACTTTAGTGGCATACCATAGATGCAAAAAGAAAGCAAATTATGAAAACAGACAATACAATTTTGCTGGTATGAGCAATATGGACGAATGGTTTATTTTCAGAGATCTAGATCAACATCATCAGAATGCTTTAGGATAGAGACGCTGCAATTCAGACGCATCAAGAAAGCGGTTTGTAAAGGAAACTAGTATCAGGTAGTTCAAATTATAGCGTCTTTCATATTTCAATCCTGTTCGATTTATTACAATCGATCTGATACATTGCCTATTCTTGGGCATCGTGAAGTGAATTGTTAGGAGAACTTAGATGGAAGAGGGTATAATTATGCTACAAGTTTTGAAAATAGTACAGAAAAAAATGGATGAATTTAAAGTTCTGTCAGATTTGGGTCGAATTCTAAAGAAAGTCAATTGTGACAATGGGTTTTCAAATTTTACCGCAGATCAATAGTGGATATTCTTTACTGTATACGCAACAGTCTCTCTTTAGAACATCTTTCAGAGAAAGATCAGAAGATTCTTGTTTATTTTGTAAGAATCTGTTCAATTCTAGTAAGTCAAATAGTAGAAGTCGATTTCATGAGAGAAGCCTATCAGAGGTTGATTAGTATAGTGAAATTAATAGAAAAAATTTACGGTCATAACAAAATTACACCAAATTTACACCTGTCACTTCACCTATGTGAATGCTTATTTGATTATGGTCCATTGTATACTTTTTAGTGCTTTCTTTCGAGTGTATGAATGGAATGTTAGGTATTATATTTTTAATATTTTCAATTGCCTTTTACTTATTTCATTTAATAATATATTGGTAAATTTAGGATCATTACCAAATAGCAGAAAAAAGATTGAACCAGAAATCATGCATTGTCTAATGTTTGATAATCAAATTAGTAATATTATTAATTCTGATATAGAGACAAAAGGCTTAGACTTGCTTAATAATCGACCATCTGTTGGTTCACTTTTAGAAGCTGACCAATTTTTTGCTAATGAAATGCAACGTTTTTGGTTGATTTCCAGACACATTCATCAATCAAATGTTACTGGAAAAGAACCATTTCTAGGCAAAATGCTTAGACTAATATTGAATAATATTATAATTACGAATGATATACTTGACTTAATAGTTGAGTATTATATGGTGACTTACGAAACATTCACAATTCGAAGGCCATTTGAAGAGGGTACAAAAGATTCGATAATAATAGCTGATAAAATGGATCAATTTGGATGATGTCAAATTGGTTCCGAAGTGTTCGATTCTTTGATATCAACTCATCATGTAAAAAATTCATTTGTTTTGGCAAAATTTATGATAGATAATGAAAATAACAATTGTTTTCCTGATCAAATTCAGTACTTTTTTATTCACACTATTAATTTGCCAGATATCAGATTATCTGAACATAATTTTGCATTTGTTCGTTGGTATAAACCTGCAGAAACATTAAGGATTCAGTATTATTTTAGTATTGATGATGAAATATGCAACGTAGAATTATGGAGCACTGAATTTTATCCAATTTTACGAGACTGTATTATCTCTGTCCATCACATTCTTAGTAGATTTATACCAATAAAGTACCGGATTAAAACAAAAGATTATTTAGCAATAAATCCTATTAATAGAAAATATCATATTCGCTAATTTTCGATTATTTGCATCAATTTTTATATCTTAAACTCGTTATAGTAAAATTATTAAATAGAGGGTGTTTTATTAATCTTTAATCGCTAAGAATGTTTATATTATCACAAATCTAGGATCATTATATTTTGATATAGAGATTCGCTAATAGTTTATACCTTCTGTTATATCTAAATATTAATGATATTAGAAAGTGGAGAGCAGAGGATTCTTTTGAAGACGGAAAAAAACTTTATAATTCATTTTTAAATCTGTTATTCAAATATTTCTATTTTCAATCAAAAGATTTATTTAATAAATTATTATTTAGTAAAATATTTTATTTCTTTTTAATTATTATCAAAATTATTTTTAATGAAATATATTATATATATTTTTTGGTTTGTATATCAGGCTATTTTATTTCATATTAATGCGCTGTCTTAATTATTTATTATACAAGTTATTCTTAATGCTGATTAATGAAATAATACTCTTTTTACCAAAAATTTACTGTAAATCTTTAATTGCTTTATCATTAAAAACTGATTTCTTTATACTTTTTTCTTTTATATTATGAAAAAAATAAAAACCAAATTAAGCTACTTTTTCAGACTGAAATTCTATGATCAGTATTTGCGTTAACTTATTTTACAAAATATATGAACAAAGTTATGTTTGTAATAATTTCAGATTTTCCATTTACTTTTTGAAGCCTTTTGTTTTAATAATGTTTGAATGCATAAATTATTAATAGTAAATGAAATTCAGATTTAGTTATAGCCTTTATATCATACATTTATTTAAAATTATTTTATGTTCAATTATAATTTAGCAATAGCATGAAATAATTTAAACTACAAAAACCTTATACTTATTATTTAAGCATATTCTTATACTGGTCAAAATAAGGCAAATCAGACATAAGACAAATCGGCTGAAAATTAACTAAATTCAGCCGAAAATCAGAAAAATTACCAAATTCAGCATTTATGATTTACAGCTAATCAGAAAAATCACCAATTTTGACATTTCTGATTTACAGCCAATTAAAAAAAAATACAAAATTCGACATATCTGAATTATATACTAAAATTTACTTTATTTAGTCAGAAAATTATGAAATAATAAGTCCTTCGAAAACTCA